AAAATAGGCTACGACGCTCCAGGTTGTAAATGGCATGAAGTTGTTGTGATGACTGCAGAAATGGGCGTGACAGAATCTGTAGGAGGTTCTTAAAGAAACAGGTCAATTTCAAGGCGTTTAGAAACAACTGTGATGCAAAGTTAAATTTATTTTTGATTTGAACATATAAAACAGCATTTTCATAACAGCTGAAGGTAGGGCTGGGTTTAAAAAATTGATTTAATCGATCTGAATCAATTTTCGTTCAAATTTGGGAAAATCAATTCATAAGTCATGAGATCGATTTTTCCCCGTGGGTGTTGTGTGCGATGAAGCTGCGCGTTTCCGTGTTGTGAGTCCCTCCTGGCTTGCCGTAGATTTACATCCGGTTGRCATTCAGCACTAATGTTTAGCTCCTGACAACAAGTTGTCTGGGGCACAACAAAAGAAACAAAGGMATCACTAACATTACAGCTGATTCTCAGCTGAACTTAAAGAAAACAGATCATGACAACTTTTGTTTGCCAAGATTTGCGCTCGAACGCGGCAGCGGGAAACGAAGCTTCGAGCGGCTCGAACCAAAACTACGGTTTGTAAACATCTGAGTGAAACAGTTCTCATCTGCATGTATAAATGTGTGAAAGATGACAGTCTAACAAAATCGTTAAGTTTTGTTACCAATATTATTTATAAATTTTAGAAACATCTTAATGTAATTCACAGTGATGGAATGTTTTAGCTGAAGTACTCTTTTTTTCTTTTCTTTCTTCTTGTTAATAAGTTTTACTGAACAGAAGCTAACAGAAACATTACAAATATACCATTTTCATACGCTCAAAAGAGTGGGCAGAATTATTCTTACATTATCCCACCTTTTCTCCTGTAACCTTATTCTCATCACTTCTTGGTGATCAAGAAAATTCTTAGTTTATTAAAAAACTGATGTATCCAACAACACTTTCTCTTGCAATTCCTTTTTACTTTAAACCCTTTGAAACTCCAGACAGTTTTGTTTCAAGATTAAACTCCAATTTACAAGTTTGCCCTTAATGTTTATAATTTTACCAATGCACCAAGTTAGAATTAGTTTCTTTTTGCAGAATTACTTCCTTTGAGAATGTCTTCTGTATCAAAATAAGTGTAACTGCATGATATCCTTAACTAATTTAAAAATCAATCAAACTGAATCGTGAATCGTCGTGAATCGAATCAGGCCCCCTATGAATCRAATTGAATCRATTTGGGAAWTCTGAATCGATATCCAGCCCTAACTGAAGGTGACATWGTTACTTTATTATGGTATAGAATTGAACTATATGCCTGAAAAWCATATAATATTGGCCCTTTAAATCACAAAGTGGCAGAAAATTCATTTGGTTAAAAGCTGCTGAAATGCCAACATTTCAACCATCCTGAGGATTTTCCACATTAAAACAGTACAAGCCTTTTTTCTGTTAGTCTGATGTTTGATTTTCTGTGCCTCGCTGGCAGAGGCTCAACGTTTCAAACAAGTCAGTTACTTACAATTAGCTGCCCGAAACTGCAGTTTGTGTGGTACGGACTTGATGTCCTGGTCGTCTAACGTGTCGCTCCAGTTGATGCTTTGGGGGTCTGGGAAGCACAGCTGGGGATTCCCCCAAATATACACGCTACCYAACAGGATCTCTGCAGGACAGAAGAAGCATCACAGGAAATATGAACTTTAAATTCGTGCAGTGCGTAGGAACATCGCTGCAAGCAGATAAAGATGAAAACGTTGAGGCAAAACAAGTTACGCAAACAGAAGAGCTGAGCTTCCAACTGACCTGTGAGGCTTCGAAGCCGGAGGGTCCTCAGCCCCTGATTGGCCAGAGTGTTATCCAGCACAGCCAGAGCATAGCTGGAATCGTACAGCTGGCTGCCTCGTATGATCCGAAGATTGTCCAGAGGCACCAAGCTCACCGAGACATGTGCAATGAGTACATAACCCTGCACCTCGCGGATCTCCTGGAGAGGAAGAGGCAAAAAACAAAAACAAACAAAATAAATACAAATTCAAAAACAAAGACTGATCAAAACACAATGAAACTAATAAACATAAACACTACTTAGTTTCATGTTTTCTGGCTGTAATGTGTCAGGACGTTCTCTTCAGTGGTACCTGCAGGAAGGACAGGTCAGAGTTTCCATGAAGGTGTGTAATCTCCAGGTTGCCATGGACCACCTGGCATCCGGTGTAAAGGAGCTTCAGGATTTGGTAGTGGTTTTCCAGGCTGGAGGGCAGGGCTAGTTTCATGTCTGTGCCCAGACACACTGTAACACAGATAACACGAGACCCTCTTAGTGACCCAGCAAGACACACAAAAAAACAACATCTATTATCCTCAGAAGGACACATTTTTCATTTACTTTTGTCAAAATATTTGACGTTTGTGCAAAAGCACCAAGATGACGGAGATGCGTAACAAATACTTAACTCTGGTTGAACAAGTAAATATAAATGTAAAATAACTGACAGACCTAAATGGATTGAACAGAACCACACTCTAAACAAGAAAGTATTTAAACTTGTGAATTATTTACTTTTTAAAGTTCCAGACAGATATTTTACTGTCTAAACACAAATGGATAAAAAAAATGTACACTGGGCTGCAGAACTTGCATTATTATTGTTAAAAATTGCTTGAATCATTTATGAAACTTTTTTTTGTCTTGAAAGCAAAGATATGTAAAAAAAATTGTTGTTGTTTTTTCGCTTGAAATTGTGATACTTTTGATTATCACATTAGAATCTCATACTGGCCCCATGCCTCGCTGGGATAAATATACAAATGTCCTCGTTTCTTTTCCATGTGATCATAACACATATAAATCTCAGGTACTACAATCTAAATCAGGCCTTCGGAGGACTTTTTGGCCATCCACAAATGTCGATATTGCACAACTGGACATTTCAACAACAATAAATTTTAACATTTTACTGAAGCTTCAGACTAAGGCTGCCTGAACGTCTCCCACTCAGCCTTGAAGAGACGCTCTGAAACACGAGCCACATGCTCTGCCTCTCTCAGAGTGCATATTCTGCACGGGAAACCGAGAGCACAGACTCCCCCGCAGAGGGTCACACGGAGCGTTAGCGTTCAGGGTCACGCAGCGTTACGGGGGCTATCACATAGCTGCCATTCCTCAGCAGGCAGGCAGTCACACAGTGGACAGTCCCTCCTCTTTGCAGCATATAAATGACTTCCTCTGGCTTCTTCCCAAACAGCCTTTAGATCACACTTTCCTCGATCGAGCCCCTCGCCGCCGTACAAACTCAATTGCCTCAGGAAGTTCCAACAGCAGAGTGATTTTTAGGAAATCTTACCAAGTATGAGAGTCTGTCTCGAGTAACGTTTCCCTCTGATGACGCAACGCTCGCAACAACGAATTAGCTATGAAGTGTTTGCCAATAAATCACAAATAAGACTTGTATTTAAATCTGGCAACAAGCTCCTGCAGCAAATGGTCCACGATTAACATGGCTGCTGCCAAAAATACACACCCAGTAGTCAGGGGCTGAGCCGAATGAATTAAATGACTATTTGTTCCGTTCAATGATGCCATCATGGAAAATCTTAGCTTTTAATCCAAGGCATGTTTTAAATTCTTTTTCTTAAAAAAAGGAGTAGATTCCCTTAAAATGTAGAGGACCTTGGATGGAGGAAACGTGTGGAGACGAAAAGCCCAACTGGGCACATCTTCTGTTTCTAAAAAGTGTGTGTAACTCTAGTCCCCACCACCACCACCACCACACACACACACGTCTTTTTATCCCCATATTGTTTGCTTGCCAAAAGTCTCTCAGCAACGCTTGTGTGTTTATGCATGGCCTTGTGAGGAGCTGCCCACTCCTCCGTCCCTGCAGCCTAAAATACCCCCTCTTATCACACGCTTTGCCCCGATTGCCCGCTGTCACCTCAGCCCCCAGCCTTCGTCAGAAGCATTTTACACTTTGCTTTTTAGTCAGTTCAGCTATCTAAAACCCGTCTGTCTTCTTCACGGTAAAATCTGACCGCCTGTCAAATGTTACCTAATCCCGAGAGTCGTCGTCGTCTCACAGAAACGTGTTCTGTTGCATAGCTAAAAGACGACACATTTGGAGTACCAGCTCAGAAACAAAGAGTGGGGCTGTGCTCAACTTGTAACTTCCAGTTCATAAGATCGCCGTGTCAGGCAGATGGCAGACGAAAACAATAATACCTGCCAATATTTATAACGCTCACACACGCGAACAGAGTTAAATGGTTTAGCGTTGGCTTCTGCAAAGCTGGCAGCAACTTCCTGGAAAGTTCCACTCAGGTGTTTCTTTGAGCAGCAACATGTTTTTGCTGACTCTTCTCCTGCAGGAGCTCAGCTGATCAAATGCTGTTACAGCAGATCATTAATTACTAAAAAACAAACATGGAGTTAAAATAGAATTGATTAGTCACAGCTTTAACGTTGAGGTGCAGAGAAATTCAGTCTAAAGCATTCGTGCAGCAAAGGTAGACTTTTTAAATTATCTGTTATGAATGATGATCAGTTATTACCCCACTGAATTTTAGTTAAGGGATCCACGATTAGTTGTATCATTAAACTTTATTTGATAAACATTTATTTTGGCTGTAAAATAAAGACTGTAAAAATACTGCAGCTGTTTAGTTTAGTAAATTTTTTAAAATATATTTTAACACGGACGTAGCCATTTTATTTACATGCAAAGCATTCTGGGTAAACGATGACATCAACTAGGCCATTGGTGCGAGGCTTCTAGCGAGCTGTATCCACCATGAAGGTTAATCTTGGACAATATCTGATGATCGACTCTTTTAAATGAAACCAGAGAGCGTTGACAGAGAGGAGAAGGTAGAAATGACTCAGCCTGKAACTGAAAATATGGATGGAGGACAACAGAGCTGCTTCATGGAAGAAGAACCTCAGCTTAGCCTGTTAGCCTTCGCGCTAGCCCTCATGCTATATTGACTTATATGTATTAGCTTGGCACTAACGTGACAAACAAGCTAAACTGAGGTCCTCCATCCATATTTTCAGTTGCAGACTGAGTCATTTTTGCGTTCCCCTCTCTGTCATGTGGATGGAGGACCTCAGTGATGAGAGGAGAATGTGTAGCACTGAGCTAATACATATATATGGTGATAGCATCGGGGCTAATGCTAAAGCTAACAGGCTAAGCTGAGGTTCTTCTTCCATGAAGCAGCTCTGTTGTCCTCCATCCATATTTTCAGTTCCAGACTGAGTCATTTCTACCTTCTCCTCTCTGTCAACGCTCTCTGGTTTCATTTAAAAGAGTCAATCATCAGATATTGTCCAAGATTAACCTTCAGGGTGGATATAGCTCGCTAGCAGCCTCACACCGATGACCTAGTTGATGTCATCATTTACCCAGAATGCTTTGTATGTAACTAAAATGGCCCCATCCGTGTAATATATTTTTAAACTTTTAGTTTAAAATTTATAAAAACTGAACATCCTACAGTATTTTTACAGTCTTTAACAGTTAAAGTATATGTTTATCATATGAAGTCTAATGTTACAACTAATCATGGATACCTTTAAATATCTGTAAAACCAACCAAGTTGTAGCCATTTCTGTGTTGTTGATGTGGATTATAAATGGCAGCCATCTTGAATTGGACCGACTCCAAAAGGTTATCAGGTGTAGATCAACAACAAATGATTACTTCAGTTGGCTCAAGATATTTTGCTAACTAACCACAAAAACACAGGCAGCTTTGGCCTTTGCATTTTAATGGCAGGTGATAAAAACATACCATCTTATAAACTTCTATATCATGTCACGTTTGCACTCATTTAAAATCTGGGAATGCATTTTAAATTCGGGAAGATTTTTGCACAGCAACGCTAAATGTTATGTGCAAGTGTGCAGAACAGCTGGTTTATCAGAAACAATTAGACACTGAAACTGGTTCATCAGTTTAATTATATTTGCATTTAGCTTAATCTGTCATTGTTTTTGCATTAATCCTGTTTTTGTACGACGTGCAGTTTTTGATGTCAGAGAGGTTACTCAGTTTATTCACTGTAGAGCTGAAACTCGTGAACTGCTTGATGTCAAAAGATTGAAAACCGAAAGCCAGCTTGAAGCCACACCTGTGTGTGGCAGCGTTCCAGTTAGCACAAGGAGTGTGCCTGTGTGTGCGTGTGTTTACCAAAGTGAGTACGGTCAGTGACACGAATGCAATGCTGCTGCAGTAGCCAAGTTAAAGTCACGGCGAAAGGGACGCTTGTGCGAAACACCACAACAGCCTATCAGCTCCTGGGGACAGAAGGATCCCTCCACAGCCGAACAGAATGAGCCAATCTTACAAGATGTCAGTTTAACAACCCGTCAGTCGTTCGAAACTGCTGCAGTCATGAGCCTGGCAACACGTCTTACATCAAACATACATTTTCTTCCAACCTCCCTGAACACATTCTTTCTCTTAAACTCTACGGCTGATGGAGGGAAAAGGAAAACAAAACAGGTATTGCTCAACAGACGAGAAGAACAGGATCTGTTCTGTACGATGGCAGCTCCGCGTGACCTCACGCCGTTGTGCACTAACTGCAGTGATAACAACATACTTTTTAACATTTACAAAGCCACAGCATGAAAAAAAAAACTTGAGTTACTTTGTACACAGTAGCCGCAATTAGACAGACCTGCAGCTGAGGTCACATTTGTTGTTTTTACTGGAAATAAAAACTATCTTCTACCAGACATTCAGTTTAGATAAAAATACTCACCTTCCAATTTGAAGAGTTTATTCTAATCTTACTGATAGACTCAAATTTTAACTCTCATTGTTTCATACTTTGAAAATATACTTTTTTAGCAGGTGTCATGCTCTGATGCTGGCAACAATTTTACATCTGTTTGCTATGGCCACCTGGGCTCCAATTTTACTGTAAACCTTAGACATTTACTCATAACCTCATAACCTCATAACATTTACACATAGGAACTTGGGAGTGGGCACTTATGCATGCAAGGGGTGGGATAGGATAGTCTCGCCACTGATGCCTGTGCCTACTCACAATGTTTGCTTTTAGATATTTAGGGTTTTGGGTTAGAGTTGGGGTGGAGGGGAAACTGGCATAGTGCTGGCCTCTGCCCGGTCTTCTTCCCCTTTTTAATTGCATTATAGAACATTGCAAGTCAACAGTTCATCTGAGGGTGGGGGTGTGTGTGTCAGGGTCTTTTTTCACTCCCCTGTTCCCCGTTGGCCATCTGGGGATGGGGTCCTGGGTGGGGTGATGACCGTCTGGTG